ATTTAAGCCATTTGATAGAACAGTAAACTAAGAGTTCATAGATTTTATTTTATTTTTAAAGTTCGGTTTTATTTTATTTTCAGTTTTGACTTCTCTCTTTTTCTCTTTCCCTTCCTCCACCCATAGAGAAGACAAGAAAAACAAGATCTATTACAGAGATGTATAATTATGCAAAAAAAATTCCCACTTAGCCACGCCCAAAATATTTTTTAAAACAAAGAAGAGAAAATATGCCCCAGTCTGCAGTCTGAATCCACCACCTTATCTGGAGGTGGATACTTTGTTTCATCTTGAGTCCTTTGTGTTGATCAGATTTTCTAAGTCTGTCAAAATTGATTATCTTTACATTATTGTTATTATTGTATAAATAATTCTCCTGGTTCTGTTCACTTCACTTTGAATCAGTTCATACATATCTTTTCAGGTTTTTCTGAAACTCTCCCTTCATTATTTCTTAGAGCATGATAGCATTCTATCACACGCATGTACTGTAACTTGTTTAGCTGCCATTTTCCTCAGTTTCCAATTCTTTTTACCACCACAAAAAGAGCTGCTATAAATATTGTTGTGCATATGGGCCCTTTTCATCTTTCTTTGATCTCTTTGAGATATAGACTGAGTAGCAGCAGTATTGCAGGGTCAAAGAGTATGAAAAAACCCTTTTTAGGCATAGTTCCAAATTGTTTTCCAGAATGGTTAGACTAGTTCACAGTGCATTAAAATACCAGTTTTCCCACGTACCTTCTAGCATTTGTCATTTGTTCTTTTTTGTCAAGTTCTTAGATTTTAGATTGTAGTCCAGGCCTTGATACCCACAAGTACACCCAGAGCCACCTAGGTGGTGCAGTTTATAGAATGCTGGGCTTGGAGTCAGGAAGACCTGAGTTCAAATCCAACCTGACATTTACTAGTTGTGTGACCCTTGAGCAAATCTTGTAACCTTCACTTGCCACAGTCTCCTCAGTTGTAAAATGAGAACATTAATAGCATCTACCTCCCAGGGCTGTTATGAGGATAAAATGAATTAATGTTTATAAAGCTCTCAGCACAGTGCCTGGCACATAGTACACATTGTGTTTATTATTATCATTAGCTAAAACCCAGAAATGAGTTGAAGCTTACAGAAAAAAATTGTTATGCTTCAAAACATGATTTGGGAAAAAAAAAAACAACCTGTGTTCAGAATAAGAATGAGAAAGGAGTATGTTCATGGCTTAAGAAGAATAATTTAATATTAGCAGCTCAAATTCTGTATTTCTTATACTCAAATTCTATACTAGGGAATGATTCCAAACTAGAAAGGGTATACCAAACAATGTGAATAAGGAATTGAAAGCAAAGATCAGGAAATAAAGAATATCTTCCTCTTTTTAATTAGTTCAAATCCCCAAGCTCAGAAGAATTAAGGGTTAGGGTACTGAAAGTGCTCATAATTGTGATTATAAAACCAGTGTTCAGTCCTCTTTGAGAATGGAGAATAGAGGAGTGGTTAGAAGCCCAAAGATAGACAAATGCCATGAATTTCAAAAGTGGGGTTAAAAGATATATTCTGGAAACTATTAGAGATAGTAAAGTTGTTTAGAGCCATTGTGGATAGACTACTGGACCTGGAGTCAGGAAGGCCTAAGATCAAATCTGACCTCATACACTTATCAGTCCTGTCACACTGGGCAAGTAACTTAACCTCTCTTTACTTCAGTTTCCTCATCTGTAAAATGGGGGAAAATAATAGCACCTACCTCTCAGGAGTGTTGTGAGAATCAAATAAGATAATATACTTTAAATGCTTAGCACAAGCCTGGAATATGGTAGGTACTATATAAATGCTTCTCCCCCCTTCTCATGCTCCCCAATCTCTTTATTTGCTCCATAATTCTAGAACAGATTTTTAAGTTGATGGTTGGTTAGCACTTAGTAAAGAGAGGAAATCTCAACCATCATGATATAAACCAAATTAACCTCATCTTAAAAAATAGACTTGCTACTATAGATTAATGGAGCAGGGCAATGCCATAGACATAATGCATTTGGATTTCTTCAAAGTATTTGACAAAGTTTCTCATGTTATCTTGTGGGCAAACTGTAAAAGATGAGTTAGCTAAAGTACAGGTAGACATATTTGTGAAGCACCATGCCTAAAGAGTGTTGTTTTATGAACTGATCTAAACCTTAAAAAAAATGGCATGCCACATTGTATGTAGTATGTCACAAGGTTTTTATTAAAGTCTCAGATGAGGTCCTGATTATTTAATTTTTACATAATATGAAACTAGGAGGGATTGATAGTTGAATGGCTTTAGGAATCACGATTAATTATTATCCTGATAAGATACAATGCTCTGTCTTGCCAAACCAATAGAACTAAAAGTCCTACATTTAATTTTTAAAACTAAGTTACATAAGAACTGAAAAAGGAGAAATATTCTGTGGGATTTTAGTTGGTCATAAAATTAGTATGAAGTCCATCAGTCAATAAGCATTTACTATGCACCAGACACTGCTGGAGATACAAAGAAAGGCAAAAATAGTCTTTGATCTCAAAATACTCACATTGTCATAGGGAAGGCAACGTCTAAATAACTAAACACCTAGACTATACATACAGAGTAGATGGAAGATAATCTCAGAAGAGAAGGTATTAATAGGTGGGGGCCCAAGAAAGGCCTCCTGCAGAAGGCAGAATTTAGCTGAGTGTTAAAGGGAACTAGGGAAGCTAAGAAGTGGGAATGAGGAGAGACCATATTTTAGACATAAGGGACAATCAATGCAAAAGCATATGTGTGACAGCAGCAAATTGGTGAGTGTCACTGAATCATAAGCATTTGTGGAGGGGAATAAAGCGTAAGGAGCTAGAAAGGGGCCAGGCTGTGAAGAGCTTTAAATGTCAAAGAGGACCATATATTTGATCCTGAAAATAATAATAGTAGCATTTATATAATACTTTAAGGTTTGCAAAACAGTTTACATATGTTAACTCATTGAGTAATAGGTATTCACTGGAGTTTATTGTATAAGGAGATGACATAGACCTATGGTTTATGGAAGATAAATTGGATGGGGAGAAGCTTGAGTCAGAGAGAACAATCAGAAGGCTATTGCAATAATGCAGACAAGAAGTGGTAAAGGCCTAAGCTGGGGGTGAGGGGGGCAGCTATGTGAATGGAAAGAATGACACATATGTGAGAGATGTTGTGAAGGTAGAAACAACAGTTTGACAATGGTTTGGATATATGGGGTGACAGAAGGCAGTCAAAGATTATGAGTCTGGATGACTGGGAGGGTTGTTGTGCCCTCAGCAGTAATACATTTTATGTTTAAGATACTTGTGAGACATGCAGTTCAAGATGTCTGAAGGGAGAATGGTCATGTAGGACCAGTGATGTTCTGAAACAACTAACTCTTCAAGAAAAGAAGAGTACTTATGATAAACTTTTATGTTTAGTCAGCATAATTACCATTTTCTCTCAGTTTCTTAAGTCTAGACAATCAACAAATCATTAAATCAAGCCCCTATTGGTACCATTTGCTGATTTCTGAGGTATAAATGCTCACACTGAAAATTTAAGTCAGCTTTCACAAGGTAGTATGACCTGTGTTCAGCATATCCTTGTATAAGACTGAAAGTTGAAAAAGACTAGGGCTGGATGTATAGATTTAGGAATCATTTGCATTTAGATGATAATTGAACTCATGGGAGCTGAGGAGATCACCAAGTGAGATACTCTAGGAAGAGATGAGAAGAAGGCCCAGAATAGAGCTGTGGAGAACATCTGAAGTTAGTTGGTAGCACAGTTGCTTTAAAAAAAAAATGCATGAATAGAAGCACAGTTGATGGAACAGCCTCTGTCTTCCCTTCGAACTCAGAAATTGTATGATTCTATTATATCTAGAAATATAATTTGTCCCTTTGTAATTTTGCCCTTGCAGGCCACATCTAGAGTAATAGCTTTCTAGTACACTAATAAATTTTAGAACTCCTAGATGAATATGAAATGAAGGATCTGGAAATTATGTAATATAAGAAACAATTGAAAAAATTAGACAATACACTATCACTAATAGAGAATGTTTTAGAGGGGATTCCTGCTTAGGTGCTGGAATTGTACTAGACTAGATAATCCTCAGGGTCCCATCTAGCTATCCAATTATACCATTCTGTTTTGCTTGGATGAATGAAGACTTTAGAAGGGACCATGCTAATTTCAAGTATTTAAAGGACTGTTACATAGGAGTGGACACATCCTTTGAAGTTCCAGAGAGCCTACCTAAGAAGTTAGCTTTATGAGAACTTTGCCTCAAATTAAGGAAGAACTTTTTAACATATCCAAATGAACCACTTCACAAAATAAAGTTTCCTATCACTGAAAGTGTTAAGTAGAAGATGGGTAATCATACATAAGAGGTATCATAGAAAGGTTTCCTCTATTGTCTGTGTGTTGGGCTAGATATGATTTAATGTTCCTTCAATCTGAAGATTATTTTATTGCTTTCTGTAACTCTTTACTTTTCTGACTTCTCTGAGTTTTGATAAGTTGACATTAGGACACTGAATAATTCACATAGTTGTTTTAAAGTTGTTTAAATCATTGAGGACTGTTCCAATATACATGGTTGCCTTGGTTTTCCTGGTTTTATTTTATCATTCTCATGATGTGAAAGGTCAGGTGCAATTAGGAGCCAGAGATCAAAGAGTATTAAACAGGAAAAATAATGAAAATAATAAAAACTACAGAACAGGGTAAAGTAGAAGAAAAAATACTGATCCTGCTTTCTTTGCTATACAGTGTCACTCTGTTATCTAATACTTTATAACACTCAAAATTATACAATAATAATAATATAGTAAATTTTTAATAAGAACCGAGTAAAAGAAATCATTTTGAAAAATGCCTATCATAGAGTATAGTAAGTGCTTAATAACTGTTTGTTAAATGATTGGTCTATTGGAAAGATAAATTGCAAGGAAGCTTTCATCAGGTCATCCTTCATTTCTGTTTCAGGATGTATGACAATATTACCCACAATTCTGTTTCTGATTGCAAGAATATTGAAAGACACAGCAATAAAGTCTGGAGATAATCAAGTACCCCTCCCAGTCAGTGCAGCTCTACAAGGAATTAAAAACATTGTGACTCTTTCAATGGCCAAGACTGAGGAAACTCAAAAGCAGTGGACTGATCTAATTCGTAGCACTCTTGCATGTATCCTGGAATATTCTCAACCAGGTAATCTAATCAGAATTGTATAATGTGTCTGTCAGGTCCATAAATTTGTTAATTCCTTCATGTAAATAAGTGCGTTTGAGCTTTTGGGGTTATTCTTGTACCTTTCTCTAAGTTATAGATTTTATTGTTTACAATGAAGCAAAGTAGAAGAAAAGTTTTTAATTCTCATGTACCTATCTTTCCCTCAAGTACAGGTTTTATTTCTACTATATATCAAGTAGAGAATAAATGCTTTTAAAAGTGCTAAACAATGTCATAACTTTTACTTTTAAGAGTCCTTAGTTTTAAAAGACCAAAACTAAGTTTATTTGGTGGCTCAAAAAATTAAATCACTTTTATTTATGTTGCTGAATATAATTGAGATAATATAATAGTTTATATTATATATTCCATTCATATTTGATGTGCGTTGTTCAGAAATGTTGATTTTTAACCAAATAAATAATTCAGTAGCTATACTAATTATCCAAAAAAAGGAAATGATTGTCTTCTTCGACTGAGGAACATAGTTGAACAATATTGCTTAAATAATATAAATATTATTTTCTAATATCTGTGATAGAAGAGTGTTAATAATTTATTCTAATTGTTACCTGAGTAATACTCTAAAACAGTAGTATCAAATTCAAATAGAAGAATGCCGCTCTAAAGAGTGCCCACTAAACTGTACATAAGCATTCCGTGAGCCACATGTTGACTTACTTTTAAAATGTAATGTTATCCATATTTGATTATATTTTACTTATTTTGTTAAATATTGCCTAGTTACATCGTAATGGGGTTCAGTTCCCAGTTACATTTTAACCTGGTTCAGGCTGCACTCAGGAGTGTTGCAGGCTGTTTGTTTGATGCTTCTGCTCTAGAAGACTGTCTTAAGACATTGATCTCTAGTAGAAGCTTCCCAGGAGATAGATTCAGATTTTCAAATAGGAAGAAGGACTACTGCTAAGTATGCAAGTAATCATTGATTTGTAGGATAGGTGACAATCCATTATGAAAGTTCTATTTTTCCACTAATTGAAGAAATACTACACTGAGGGTAGAGGGGAAGGCAACCCTCAGATGAAAATAACTCCTAAGAATACAATGTTATTTAATAATCTAAAAAGAAGGGAAATTGACATTTACACAGATAAACATTTGGAGGCATTTTTTGTTTGTTTTTCTTGCTTTCTTTTGTTCTCGTCAATTGAAGTTAGACTTTATTTTTGGGGGGAGAAAGATAATTACTTGATTAATAAGAAAATGAGTCATTTTGGGACATTTAACTGTTAAAGGATTTTAAATGATCTGAATTATGAACAAAATGCTTTCATAATTTTTAACATCATTATAGTAAATTTACTGATGACTAAAACAAAGTTCTTAAAATTATGTACTTAGAGGAAAAATGTGAATATCTGATAAACTTGTTAACACTTAATATTAACAGTAATATGGCTATATTTAAAGTAAATTACAAACAAAATACTAAAGATAAAAATTAAAATTAGTGTTTAGAATTACAATAATACTATCAGTTTAAATTTGCCTCATTGTTCCTACTATAACAGTCTCGGTACCTTTAAAATTTAGTAGATTAACCAAATTTTCATTATTGAGTTGCCTTTTCTTTCCCATTATTTGGACTTACCGTCTCTTTCTATACATCAGTAAATAGTTTGGGCCAATATATGTTTGCTTTTCCCACTATAATGGTTGGAACCTCGTTAGAAGATCTACCATAACAAAACTAGTAGTGTTCTTATTCATTATAAAATGCTAATTATTGTTTGGGGCAGTTGCTGTAGTTTAGCTATACACATAAAAGTAGTTGGCCAATCTGACTGGTGATGTCAATGTAAGGACAAAGTGGAAAGCATGAAGTGATGCCTAGGGAACCACATAAGTTGAGTTGGTATTTTCTTTGCGAAGTAAATTTGCATCATAATTGATTCAATTATTAATTCTATAGTAATTTTACATTAAGTGAAATAATTATATTCTTAGAATTTTTTAATTTGGCATAGATTGAGCAAAAGTGAAAGCTTTGGACTGTTTGTGATCTGAGTTCTTGGACAGAATAACCACATTGATGAGTTCATAAATCATTTGTATATTGGATTCATGAGACCATTTTTATTGAGTGTGTTATTAATGAGCTTATTTTCATTCTGCTGACTAGAATTGACTCATATTCATTTGATCAAATGTTTGAAAGACAGTAACCCAAAAAGCCAGGTTTTAAGAGCCACCTGAAATTTTTTCCAAACTACAGTTTCAATAATATGGTTATAATTAAAGAAATTGTGCCATATTCCTTTTTGGGGGCCTATGGAAATGTGTAGTCTTCTAGTGCAGAGTAAATAAACATGATATTGCTTTTACATGTTTCTGACTTTTGAATTCAACTAGAGTAGTTAGTTACATAAATGTTTTTGTTTCAAGAAGCTTGCATTTAATCTTTAGTAATCTGCAATTTCCAGATGAATTACATAACTTTTCTTTAGTTCTTTTCTCCTCAGTCATGCTCTCTATTCAAATCTTTTTATCTTTTGGGTTCCCATTTTAGTTAGTAGAATTTGTAATTAGTTTTTTTTTGTAATATTGATGAGCTATATAATATATATATAATGTAATAATAATTTTACTTACATCATATTTGTTTGCAATGTCCTTTTTCACAACAACCTTGTCAGATAATTAGTGCAACTATTATTAAGCCTACTTTACAGATGAGGAAATAGAAACTCTTAAGAGGTTGTGACATGCCTGTAATTACACAAGTAAATATCTGAGATGGGATTTAAACCAAGATCCATAGCTGAATTCCAGTGTTCTATTATTCTATTGTCTATCTTTATTATCTATCTATCTCTCATATCATCAAAATAATCACAGTAAAGTACACAGAGATACACAAAAAAAGAAAATGAACAAGGAATATAGCAGGGCTTCTTAATGTAGGTTCCATGAATGTGGTTAGGGAAAAAAATTACACTAACCTTTTGTTGAAATTTAGCATTTCTTTCGATTGTGAATGTAGGAAGCAAACATTATTCTAAGAAGCAGTCCAGCAGATGCTTAAAGATGTCCATGGCACAAAAAAGATGGTATTTGTATGGTATTTGATCTCTTCCAAAGAATCCCCATGTGCTCTCTTGAGTAGCAGGATAGCTGTTCCATTTATGGTTATTTGTATTATTTGTTAGTTTGAGGCACACACTCTTATAATAGATATCTGAGGAAGGATTCATTCACTATTTCAATTCTAAAGTAAATATGGAAGGTCACTACTTTCTTTTTTTTCTCTCCATTTTTCAGATGATTCAATGCCTGTTCCTGATGAAGTGAGCATGCTTACAGCTATTGCACTCTTTCTGTGGTCTGCTAGTACTGAAATAATTGGAGTCCAGTCATTACAGAATGGCTGCGTGAACAGATTTAAAAATGCACTGAATTCTTGTGATCCATGGGTAAGTTATACTAATTTTTTTCATGAAATTCAGTGCTAATTTATCAAGAATGTTTCCAGTAGATATATTTGCAAAATTCAAGAAATCAAACTGAATAATAAGTGATATACAAACTTATAAATGTAATGTAAATATATTAATTTTAGAAAGAAGAAGTAAAAATAAGAAATAGGTTTAAACTTGACTGGATATGGTCCTAGCCAAGATAGTGTGGTGTCAGAGTAAACAGTATAGGGGCAGCAAGATGGCACAGTGAATAGAGCACTGGCCCTGGAGTCAGGAGGACCTGAGTTTCAAATCTGGCCTCAGATATTTGATACTTACTAGCTGAGTGACCCTGGGCAAGTCACTTAACCCCATTGCCTAGCCAAAAAAAAAAAAAAAAGAGTAAACTGTATAACCCAGTTCCTCCAACAACTCTTCCAACAATGTATTTTTCACTGAACCCAGAGAGAGGGTTCTCTGAATTTGGAATCTCTGACACAGCCCCTGCACAAGGCCTGCAGCACTGTCCCTCTAACTCTAAGAGAGGGGATTTTGAAGTCATAAAATGTCTCCTGAGCTGTTGCTTTAAACTAGAAAATGGGATATCAAAGCCAGATCGTGGAAGTAGAACAGGACCAAAGAACTGTTGCTTTAACCTCTGTATCAGGACACCAGATAAGATCCAGGACTATACCAAATGAATCCATTCCTACCAAAAGTACGCAAAGCCTAGCATAGAATATTCCAATCCAGGAAGTAAGTTGAAAAATTAGTATATCTTAAAAGCTTTTATGATGCCAAAGTTGCTTAAAACACAAACCCAGAAGAGAAGAATAATTCCAAAATACATTTAAGCAAAGCCTCCAGAAAAACTCCAACTTGGTCACAAATCAGTTAGAATTCCTAGAAGAAATGAAGCAAAAAAAATAATAAAATTTTAAAGCATAAGAAATGGTGTTATAAATGAAATGATAGTGCTAAAGGAAAGAATTGGAAAGAAAGTGATAGTTTTGGAGTACAAACTTAGAAAGTGAATTTTAACAAGAGTAACAAAAGTAACAGGTTCCCGGAAAATTAAAGAATCACTCAGAAAGTAATGATTCTACAAGACAGCAAAAAATATTAAAACAAAGAAAAAAATAGAAATTTTAAGAAATGTAAGGTATCTCGTATCAAAAACAACTTAATTAGAAAACAGATCAAGAAGAGGCCATTTAAGACTCATTGAACTATAGGAAAACTTTGAACAAAAAAAGTCTGAATATGATATTTCAAGAAATTGTGAAAGAAAACTCCTCAGACATATTAGAACAAGAGGGCAAAATGAAAATAGAAATAAGCCACCACTCACCTCTTGAGAGAAACCTCCAAAAGAAAACTCTCAGGAACATAATTGCCCAAATTCAGATCTTTCATATCAAAGAAAAAATATTGTAAGCAGCCAGAAAAAAAAAAGAGCTCAAATACCAAGCAATCAGTCAGAATCACACAAGACTTAGCATCTACCATATCAAGCAGTAGAGAGCATGGAATGGGATATTTCAGAAAGCAAAATATAAAGGCATATAATCAAGAACAACTTACCTAGCAAAACTGAATATAATCCTGTTAAGAGGAAAATGGATTTTCAGTAAAATGGAGTACTTCCAAGCATTCCTAATGAAAAGACTAGAGTTGAATAGGAATTTTGAAATACAAAAATGGAAATAGAAAGAAACATAAAAAGGTAAATACAAGTAAATAATTATAAAAGTTTAACAGGATAAACACCTCACATCTTCCTCTGCCTTGCAACTCCAAACCATGTTCTTCCTTACTATGACCCCTAATCCCTTGAACTTTCACTTCTTTCCCATGCCATCACCTCTATTGCCCTAGCTATGTTATCTTCTCTTCCCCATCTTGACCCCTGGTGAACCAGTTCAACTCTACTATTCTCTAGAGTCTCTTGCCCCTTTGTTCTGAAGAAGATTTTGCTCTCACAAATTCCAGCCTTTGATTACTTCCAATGTCTATTGCCTTCATTCCTCCTCATGTGTTTGAACAAAACTGGAGAACATCATGAAACCAAGCTGATTGGGTCCACTATGAATTTATGTTACATAATCTCAACAGCAAGAAAATCTTTTTACATGCCCCTAATCAAATCACTATCCCACTCAGCACAGTAGCTTTTCCAAACCTTTTCATCCTTTCTCAAGAATCCCACAGCACACCTTCCTTCTATGTTCTCAGCTAAAAACCTTGCCTCATATTTTCCTGAAAAAAAAAATTAATCTGAAAGTAATTTTTTTAAAAATTGTGACCATTGGAAGAGAGCTCCCTCTTTTCCATGACTCATCTCACAACACCCAGATATTTTCTGCCACTCTCTGGTACCCGTTTCACATGAATTGGCTTTTCTAGATAAAACAAGCCCCTCTATATACGTAAGTGATCTCATTTCATTTGTTTTCTCTAGCATATTTTCCTCCTCTGTCATTCCTATTCCCTCACTAATGTTTAATCATTCCCTGTCTACTGTCTACTTCCACAGTGCCTACAAACATGCCCATGTCTCTCCTACCACATCCGTAAAAAAAACTTTTCACTGAACTGATATAGAATGAAGTGAATAATACAAAGAAAACAGTTTATTCTATGGTGATATTATAAAGAAAAAATAACTTTAAGACATTTGTGGACTCTGATCGAGGCAAAGACCAACCACATCTTCAGAGAACCCATGACAAAGCATGTGACCTCACTTCTCACAGAGAGGTGATAGTGTCAAAATGTGAAAGGAGGCCACTGTGTGGACTTGTATTGCTTGATTATGTTTATTTACTACAAAGGACTTTTTCTGTTTTCTGTTTGGGGGCAGGAATATGGGGACAGAAGGGGACTAGCAGTAGTGAGACCAGCAAAAAGAAAACAAAAAGCAGGCCATTGAAACATTTTAAAAAGTACACAGAGGAGAACAGAAAGAAGTTCAGGGAAAAGCACAGACAAGCAGGACAGTTCTGAAAGTAACATGTTGCATTTATTATATACTTTTAAGAAAAAGCAAGTAGTGTCATAGTTTCATATATAACCCCCTTTTTGTTATATTCTTTGTATATGGAAAATGATCTTTTTTGATCTGAGTTCAGAATTAAAAGTTGTTTGCAAATCTTAAAGCAGCTGTAAGTAGAGTGCTGGGCCTGGAGTCAGGAAGACCTGAGTTCAAATGCAAGTTTCAGGTACTTGCTAGCTGTGTGACCCTGGGCTAGTCCCTTAACCTTTGTCTGCCTTAGTTTCCTCAATGATTAAATAGGGATAATAATAGTACCCACCTGTCTAGGTAGTTGTGAGAATCAAATCAGATAATATTTGTAAAACTTTTGTAAACTTTCAAGCACTATATAAATGCTTGTGTTATTCAGTTGTGTCCAACTCTTTGTGACCCCATTTGGGATTTTTTTGGCAAAGGTACTTGAGTACTCACTTGACAAATGAGGAAACTGAGGCAAACAAGGTTAAGTGACTTGCCCAGGATCATACAGGTAGTAAGTTTCTGTGGCCAGTTTGAACTCAGATCTTCCAGACTCCAGGCCTGGCACTCTACCCATTGAGGTGCTGATATAAATGCTAGCTTTTTTTTTTTAAATTGTGTTGCCTCCAGTACATATTTATTTTATGAGTTCTTATTTGGTCGTGTCCAGCTGTTCTTTCTAGTATGACAGAATGTGAATAGAAGGGAGGCAGCGTGGTACAGAGAAAAGAACACTGGTTCTAGAGTAAGAGGACCTGGATTCAAATCCTCCCTCTGATCTATCCTGTCTTTGTGACCTTTGGCAAATCTTTTAACCTCCTCGGGCCTTGGTTTCCTCATTTGTAAAATGAGGGGGTTGAACTAGAAAAATAGTTTTTTTAGGTCCTTTCCAGCTCTTAGATTTATGATTCTATGAGTTTAAGAATGAATCCTTCGTACATTTCTAAGGAGTCATCCTGCCTTTTCTTGAAGACCTCTAGTGAAAGGAAGCCCAGCACTTTACATGGCAGCCCATTTGACTTCTGGATTGCTCTTACTTTCTCCTAAGCCTTTTCTTTAGGCTAACCATTTCCAGTTGCTTCAGTTGACTCTCATAAGAAGGTCAAACTTAAGACCTTAATCCTGATTGCCATCTTCTGAATGCCATTCAGTTCATTGGTATCATTAAAATGTGGAGAATATAACTGAATACAGTGCTGAAAATGTGGGCTGACAAGGGCAGAGTAGAGCAAGACTTTGCAGGTCCTGGACCAGACCTGGACCTATTAGTACCACCTTAATTCCATTAGCTTGTTTGGCTGCCATATTACACTGTTTACTCTTATTGAGCAAGTATTCCACTAAAAACCCTCAGATCTTTTTTCATTTGATCTGCTCTCTAAATATATCTTCCTCAAATGTCCATTCTATCATTTAGAGGTATAATTATCACACTTTGCTTTTAACTTGTGATTTCTCCTTTTCACTTACTAATTTTTTCATGATTTGGGGGAGTTGTTTTATTGAGAAGGTTTCTTTCCCTTTACTCCTTTTCTTTATTTTTCTTTTATTTTGTTTGGTACATTTGCTATCTTCCTTGCCTTACAGAAATAGAGTGGTGTAATGGATAGAGTGCTGGACTTGAAGTCAGGGAAACCTGGGTTCAAATTCATCCTCAAGCACTTATTAGTTGTATGATTCTGAGAAAGTCACTTAACTTGTCTCAATCCCATTTTTCTGCTAATTTTACAGATTAAGAAACTGGGATTGATTTCATAGGGGTATTAATCTCTCTCTCTCTCTCTCTCTCTCTCTCTCTCTCTCTCCCTCTCCCTCCCCCCCCCCCCCCCCCCCCCCCCCCCCCCCCCACCGTGTGTGCATGTGTGTGTTATACAAAATACTTTGCAATTCTTAAAGCCTTATCTAATGATCCAGGGGAAAATGGTTGCTTCCTTCTCCGAATTTTATCAGAACACTCTTGGCTAGATGTCTCATTTTTCTCTATCATATTTTATACCATATTGTAATTTGTGTACTTGTCATATCTACCTGGGACTGTTATCATCTTTTCACCACTGTCATCTAGGACAGTGCCTTATATGTTGTCAGTGCTTAATAATTTTTTTAATTGAAATGAGAGCCTTCTGTTAGTCTTTTAAAAACACAACAGCATCTCAGTACATGACTTTATTTTTCAAATAGTTTTTTCAGTTTTGTATTTTTCTGACCAAACTTTCAGGATATTGTACTTTGAGTCATTTATACTTTTAAAATTTCTTTTCCTTATTGAACTTTAAGTAATTTCCCCATTTGATTCTCAGTGACCTGTTTTCCTTTATCCATCATTTGAAAATAGAAAAATCTCTAGAGTTTCATATGTATGTGTGTATCTAGTTAGATTAATAAGTAGACAGACAGATCCAAATTGTGTATGTGTGTATTTCCAAATGATAGTTTATTTTGAGTTTCTATTTTCTCTGCAATATTACTTCATTTCTTTTTAATATTCAAAAAAGGTCCGATATGTTTATGTTGTAAGCATAGGAACTGGCACTCTTCTCAATTGATAAATTATGTTTATTTTCTATAGGTTCAAGCTAAGTGTTACCAGCTTCTTCTTTCAGTTTTCCAGCATTCCAATCGTGCCCTTTCAACTCCCTACATCCATTCATTAGCTCCAATAATGGTTGAAAAATTGAAAGCTGTTGAAAGGAGCCGGCCAACCAGTAGTACAGAGCTTTTAGCTGTTCAAGAAGGAATCAAAGTTCTTGAAACATTGGTTGCCCTTGGTGAAGAGCAGAACAGTAAGTATTTTGTTTTCTTGTTTAAAACAAACTGAAAAGCTTTTCAAGTCTAAAAGAGAACGTTTCTTCTTAATAAGACATAGGAAATTGGGATATTAAGATTCATAGAATAATTTTTGATAGGTAAAGGCTTAGTATGAAAATTGGTGTTGACTTATGTGTGGTTTTGAGTTGGAAATTAAAAGTGGATTAGTATTGAATGGTAACTGAGCACTGCTTTTATTTTATTTTTTAAATTAATTTATTTATCTTTAGTTTTCAACATTCACTTCCACAAGATTTTGAGTTCCAAATTTTCTCCCCATCTCTCCCCTCCCCCAACCCCAAGATGGCATGCATCCTGAATACTCCTCCCAATCTGCCTTCCCTTTTATCAACACCCCCTCCCCCATCCTTCTCTTATCTCCTTCCCCTTCTATTTTCCTGTAAGGCAGGATTGATTTCTGTATCTATTGCCTTTATATCTTATTTCCCAGTTGCATGTAAAAACAATTTTTAGCATTCGTTTTTAAAACTTTGAGTTCCGAATTCTCTTCCCTCCCTCCCTATCCATCCTTATTGAGAAGGCAAGTAATTCAATATAGGTTATACATGTGTAGTCATGCAAAACACTTCCATAATAGTCACTGAGCACTGCTTTTAGAGGTATAGATGATAGGCTAGGTGAAAGTCTATACTGATCCTAATTAGAATTTTAAAACATAATATTCTGGTTTTCTTGATAGCGCATTACAACTTGACTAGTAAATATAATCAAATGAGTATTGGAATTGAATCAAATTACTAAAAAGCATCACAAGTTTGCATTAAAAAAGCATCAAAATTGACTGCAATTTTAATCACTGAAAAACAACTATACATCTACTTAATCAGAGTGTACAAACAAGCAGTTCAAAACTTTGGAGAGATTGGGTGGTATAGTGGATAGAAAACTGAACTTGGGTTTTGAAGTTTTAACTTTTTTAGAGTGTGATACTGGAAAAATCATCACCCCCTCAATTCCCTTCTGTCTAAAATGAGGGAGTTGGACTACATGTCTACAAATATTCCTTCTATCTATAATATTCAGTGATTCTTTGATTATGACTCCAAACTTCCTATTTCTGTATTGATTCTGTTACCTGATAATGTTGCAGCTCTCTCTCTTTTGAATATATGTAAATAAAATTAGACAGGGAATTGGGATAATTAGAATTCCTAGGTGTTTTCTGGCTAGGAAGCATGGTGTGTTAGTTTTACTAATACATAGCCACAAGGGCTTCTACTTTCCCTTCTGTAAAATGGAGGTCATATCTTTCCTCTTAGAGGTATTGTGAGGATAAAGTGAACTAGTAGTGATAATAATAACTCACATTTATTGTAATATGTTAAGTTGTACAAAGATAAAGCACTTTGAGAAAATTGTTCTATAACATTATTGTTATTATGGATTCAAAAGAGGACTATTTTTATACTTCAGATTTTAAGTAATAAGGGTTCAGACTGAAATAGTGGTGGAAATACAAAGGAAGAGACAAATTCAAGAGATATTTTGAAAGAAAGATCAATAGCAAATTTCTGGGGAAAAAAAAAGTATCTGAAGTAGGATTTAACTTAGTTATCCTTGACTCTTAAGTCCTGTGCCCTATCCACTGCACCACCTGGCTTCCCAGAGTTTTCTAGATGTTTACAACATGGATCTTTAGAAGTAAATAGAATATTTTTGCTTGGAATTGAATTCAAGTGCTCTGGCCTGTAATTTGTATTTTCTACCTTTTCCTCTTTTTTTAAAATAGGATTATTTTTCCTTCTTCACTCTTATAACACTTTCTCTTTGTGAACTTTCAGAAATCACTGACTGTTTACCAATTATATTCACTGGTTTTTTCAGGTCTGGTGATGTGAACTTACTAAAGGCAACTAGGTATTCTTTTACTATCTCCCTATTTCATACTGGGGAATTTCATATTTCTATTTGGCATTTTTGTTCTGCTTTTTGCAGTCCAAATGTCAGGGGAGAAAGCAAGAAGAATTGAACAGCCCTGCCTTCTCTCTGCTATTGCCGTCATCATCCCTCCCACTCCCCCAAGTCATCAATCCTCCTCTGCTTTGATTCTTTCCTTTCCTGCCTTTACAGCAAAAAGGAAAATCTTTTTTGTTGTCCACAGCCTTCCTTAACAGTCTCAGTTCATGCTGAGTTTTAGCGCCCCTGATATTCTTATGTAACTTGTATAACAAGCTTCACTTTGGTTTTGATCCTCTATTACCTCTTCTTGCTTCCACATCCTGTATGCATCTCTTAAAATTCTAAATTGCTCAGTGATTTCTCTGTTGCTGAGAAATCAGTTAGCATTCAATTTCTTTCCAAGTGAAATTTAATTAATAAGAGATAAAAAGTTGCCAGAGGAATCACAGTTTTAACTTTGGCTGACAATAACAATTTATAAGTTTAAATATTATACTATGTCAGTATCATATATTCACCAGGTAGCCATTCAGTAAATATTTTTAATTGAAATTTTCACCAAGACTGACAAGATAGGTGCATTGTAATACCTTTAATTAGTACCCCTTTGCTTTTTCTTAATTAGGGCAAAAAGACTGGCCATATGATGTGCCAACTTAATGGATGAATTTTATTCACAAGTATGAGTTAGTATCAGTCATAAAAAACTGTAACAGCTGAGAAAGTATATATTATAATCGTGAAATTACCATAAACTATACTTTATTTATGTACTAGCACCATGTTTTTGTTATAATCTAAAAGAGTAACCTTTCAGCCCTTGTATTTCATTTTAGCCATGCACTTTTTCCCTTACAAATTAAAATGTTAAATATTCTTTTAAATCTAATAGCAATCATTTTTATAGACTGGAAGCACACATTTTCTCACCTTATAAAATCCAGTTTCCCAGGCTAGAAACCTTTGAATTATTTTTGACTCTTCTCTATCTAGCCAATCACTTATTTATCAAGTCCTGTTATAACTAACTTCTTTCCTTTTATACTTCTATGGGAGTCATCCTTTTCATTCTGAGACTACTGTAGGCCAGACCTTCATCATTTCACTCTTGTATTATTGCACTGATCTCCAAGTTGTTCTCTGTGACTCCACATGTTTACATTCAAGTTGAATCTACCTACCACTTCCAGACTGACCTTTCTAAAAAACAGTTTTAGAGGAGCAGCTAGATGGTGCAGTGGATAGAGCACTGGCCCTGGATTCAGAAAGACCTGAGTTCAAATCCGGCCTCAGACACTTGACACTTACTAGCTGTGTGACCCTGGGCAAGTCACTTCAACCCATTGCCTTGCCAAAAAACAGGAGAAAAAAAACTGTTTTAGAAGACAGGGAAAGAAATGGTAGCATGTGGTATATGAACTTAATGGTGAATTCATTTGGGGTAAAAACATGGTGATACAGGCCCTTTCCATTGAAAATGTCAGTAGTGGTCTTATGATTAATCACTTTAAACGTTTTGATTGCCTTCTCTATCATCATCAACCAGTTGGAAATTCTCACCTTAATCCACCCCCAATACTCCCAAAAGAAAAAAATTAAAGCTGAAAAAAATGTATCATCAATAATAAATACCAACTCTGCACCTTGTACATGGTTCTTTATTATGTGGTGATCAGTAAAAGAAAAGGCAATTTTCTGCTTTCATAAATTTTTTATTTGAAGATAGCTGTACTCATATGGACATAAAGTAAAGTACTGATTACTCCATGAAATTCTTTTCAGAAATATAATATTTCACATGTCATTAAGAAAAGAAACAAATCAATTCAAGTTATACATAGTGTTTTAATTTAGAAGTCTTTTTTCTATTACTGTGGATTTGGGGGAAAAGAAAAGGGAGTGGGGTGCATGAAAAGAAGTTTTTAAAAAAAGAATAAAGAGAAAGCAACTTGTTGTTTAGTCATTTCAGTCATGTCCAACTCTTCATGACTCCATTTGGGGTTTTCTTGGCAAAGGTACTGGAGTGGTTAGTTTGCTATTTCCTTCATTTTACAGATGAGGAACTGAGGCAAAAAGGGTAAGTGACTTGACCAGGATCACAAAACAACTTGTAATTTTAGACATGTTATAGTTGGGATTTTTACATATGATTCATAGTACTATGTCATGAAATACCTAATCAGTTGGCCATTATAAACTATTGACTTCTTATAAAGGACATCTTGGGAAATGAATGATGTTTCATAAATTTTTCTTCACTCAAAATCCAGTAACTGTAAAAATGATTGTCTTAATGTGGATTAACTGATTTCTTTTTATTAATAAAACTTTTGTACCAAGTAACACATTTATCATAAAGAAACCACTAGTATGGTCTCTATTTGTAAAGCTTTGAACTCTGTAGTTCAACAAATCACATCTCTCACAAGTATGGTAGTGATATTTAATCAGTTTTTGATAAAAGTTTCCAAGAACTAAAAGAACTTAGGTATAAGTTGGATCTTATCTAGTTGCTTGAATTTGGTTACAATTTAGACTACCTGTTGCCTCATTTACCTATTCTTTGTTTTAGTAATCTATACTCACTATAAAAGCTCAAAATTTGGTCAGATTGTAATATTTTGGTAATTTATCATTTAATGCTTTGTTTTTCAGGAGTCCAGTTACTTGCCCTTTTAGTTCCAACCTTGATTTCATATCTGCTGGATGAAAATGCTTTTGATTCAGCACTTACGGCATCCAAAGATCTTCATGAGTTTGCACTCCAGAATCTAATGCACATTGGGCCTCTCTATCCACATGCTTTTAAGACTGTAATGGGAGCTGCTCCTGAGTTGAAAACACGCCTGGAAACTGCAGTTCGAGCAAGCCAAGCCAGCAAAGCAAAAGCAGCTGCGAGGCAACCAGCACCTACCATACATTCCGCCCCAACAATTAAACTCAAAACAAGCTTTTTTTGAATTTACTGTTCCATTCCTTTTTATTTACATTGGCAACAAACACCAAATTAGTCATTGGTTCTGCATCATTCCAGTCTTTATGTTTATTTGATTTGTATATTGGTGTTAGTGTTATGAAATAGGATAACTGAAATAATTCCACAGGTTGATGTTGATTTTAGCAAATTTATTTTTATCATGTATGTGAATTAATTTACTTTTTTTTTTTTTTTTTTTTGGCTAGGCAATGGGGTTAAGTGACTTGCCAAGGGTCACACAGTTAGTAAGTGTTAATGTGTCTGAGGCTGGATTCGAACTCAGGTCCTCCTGAATCCAGGGCCAGTGCTCTGTCCACTGCACCACCTAGCTGCCCCTAATTTCCTTTTTGTAAGATGTTTCTTTTGCTTTTAGTTTGCTGTACAACACTTAGTTTTGCAAATTTAAATTCTGTCCTTTAAAAAGCGACTCAGATAGATCATGCATCAACTTATTGATATGATGATGAAAAGTTAAAATAGCATTTATCACAGAAGAATGTAGTTGCAGAAATGAGAAATCAAAATGATGCACAAAGACTTGAATCTAATTTATTTCCTGCTATGTATAATAGAATGAAATAGATATAATATTTTCTCAGAATATAATACACAATGAAATGTCCTTACCTTTCTAACAGGTCTTTCTTTACTTTCAGATTTAAATAATTAAATTATTCTTGACCATATATTGTTGTTAAAAATAATTTAAGGAATAAAACTCTTATTTAAAGGTACATGAAAATGTATCACATATGGTGTGATCTACTTTTTAATGGTCAAAAAATTTGATCTAAGAAAAATTTTCCAGATACAGCTCTGAGGTTTACTTATGATATTCTAGCTGTCCCCATCTCTTGTTTAGTATTATCATTACCTTTATGATAAAAATGTCAAGATGAGTCTCTATTTATATCATAGTAACTATTAGCAAATAGAATTTCCAAACTGTTCTTTACTATACAGAAAATTATGCAAAAAAAAAGCTGACTCCAATTTCTTTATGAGGCAGAAACTATCTCCTAAATAAAATGATTCTTTTCCTTACTATCTAATATCTTATGCCTGCTGCCTCTTTTTTCTATTCATTTGCTTGTAGTTCCTCTCTCATTTGCCTTCAATTCCATTCATGTATTCGTTCACCCAAATTTCCCATGAAATAACCCATACATTTTCACCTGTGTATTCACTCTCTTCCAATCACTTCCTACTTTGTTTTGCCTATCTTTGTTCTCACCAAAAGATATTCTTCTTCCTCTACTAGTCACTGGGCAGGTTCTTTGTGTTTATTTCTGTTTTGTGTATTCTCTTCTGTTCCCACCCACCTCAGACTTATTGCTTCATTCTTTCATCCTAAGGTGTGGTGGCCAAAGTTGTAGAAGTAGTAGTACCACCCATGGCATCTCTTTAATTTTCCCCACACCCTTTTGAGTCACTATCATAACAACTTTAGCCTCTTTGGTTATGTTTGTATGGAGATATATCAACCCTGGCTCATTTTTCAAAGAGAGAAGCAGTTAATTGAAATCAGATATAGTCCTGTGTAGTAAGTAATATCATATTTAATCAAATAATATATACATTAAAGAAGGAAAATGTCATTTCCTTGTTTATTTCTTACTGTGTGCTTTCTGTTACTATATCTTATCCAATTGTTTTTAATATTTTAAACAGTGAGGTTTCTACTACTTACTAAATTCTTGGCTGTCAATATTGTAAACTTAATTTGTATTCTCTTAATTTCATCATTTCACTCTGCTTCATAATTAATCATCATATTCACAAAATAGCATTAAGCCTTTTACAGACCTATTGATATTTATATGTACCTTTTTTCTGATAATCTCTGTACATATAATTAAATATTACATGTGTTGTAAATTATTCCTCTAATATGGTAGCATGAAATATATTAAACATGAAATTGTGGATTCAATAACTAAAGTATTATGATTTCATTGTGTATTTAATGCCATGCTTTTTGCGTTCACATTTACTTTAATGTATTTCATCCTCTTCTGTATTTTTAAATTGTGGATCAAATCAAGACTGTAGCATACCTATAAATAAACTTCTAGCTTTTATATTTTTCCATCAATGGCCATTCCAAGCCATTTCCATTGTCATACTTAGAAGACACATTTAATTACAACAGACCCATGTACTAGTTGTTTGTATTATCTGAAATTGTTCTTTGTGGAGTTAATAAAATTTCACCTGCATGAATGAGAATTTCGCTGCTTGGTCAAAAGTTAGTAATGTCACTTAAATCAATTTGATACTGTCACACCTTGAAGTATATACACTTTTAAGGATTCTAAGACATAGAGGTGAGGAGGAACACATTTCCAGGCATGCATGCTAGCTTTTGCAAAAGCATGTATGCAAGATGTAATTTCAAGTTAGCAAAATATCAAGTAGTTGAGTTTGACTGGAACTTAGAGAATACAAAGGGGAGCAATGTGAAATGTCTCAATTAGTAGGCTGGAGCAAAACTGTAGGGCTTTAAATACCTGTCTATGGAATTTCTATTTTACCACAGGAGAAATTGGGAGCCACCAAAAGAGTTTTGAACAGCTAAATGATATGGTTAGATTGGTCCCCTAATGTTAATGGGGAATCTACATAGGAAACTTGCAGTGATATAAACAAAAGGAGAGAAGGGATTGAACACAAGGGATGCTGTGTAGATAGAGTAGTTGAGACTTGATTGGATATGGAGGGTTGAGGAGAATGAAGAGTCAATGATGACTCCAAAATGCAAAACCTGGAGCCACCATATTGGACTCAGCATAAAGCCCTGGTTCTGCTGCTGGAGAAAGTGGAAACATCACTGAAGAAACCAAGATGATGAAAGCAGCTGGATTAAACCAAGTCTATTCAAGAGACAACATAGTTTTGCAGAAATTTGAGTCTCAAAGTATATATGAATGAAAAATAGCAAAATTGTGGAGAAATATTGAACTTCATCACTTGTCAAAATTCTAAAAAAGCTCCTGAGGGACTATTAATTATCTCTTGACCCATACACCCACTTTCCTATCTTTACAAAATTTGTAACAGGCAGAGAACACAACTCTAAAACAGTCCCCTAGTAATCCTGACACCCCCCCCCTCAAGATAGTTAATAAACTTTGTGATAAATAATGGTTGAGGTAAATAGAATTTAATTCAATAAGAATTTATTAAAGTTGTACAAGATGTTCATAAGAATACACATACATTGAAGTTATCAGGACATGCTTTCACAAGTGACACTCAGGAGTAAATAGCATGTTTGCAGTTTTGTAATTGACTGTAAAAATGCAAGGTCCCACTGTTATTTGTTGGAGATGACATATATACATATAAATACATACAACAAATACAAGTTAATTTTTAAGAAAAAGCACTAGCTTCTAGGGAGATCAGGAAAGGGCTCCTCTAGGAAGTAGGATGAGTTGAGCTTTGAAATAAATTAGGGATTCTAAAATGCAGAAGTGAGAAGAGAGTATATTCCAGGCATGGGGGCAGGATATGAAATGTGCATGAGAAATGGCAAGAAAGCTAATTTGGCTGAATCATAAGAGTATATCAAAGGGAGAAATATATCAAAAATAAAGGTAGGTTAAAGTTAGATTGTAAAAGGCTTTAAATGCAAAAGTTTAGATTTAATCTTAGAGGTATGACAGAGTCACTACAATTTATTGAGAAGGGGAGTGACATGGTCAGACATGCTTTAAAATGATCATTTTGTTCTCTGTGTGGACTATTGGAGAGGAGAGATATTGGATGCAGGGAGACCAATTAGGAGACTCTTGCAATAATTCAGTTAAAAGGTGGTGCTGTCCTGAATGAGAGTAATTGCTTGGGAGTTGAAAGAAGGGGATTAATGAGAGAGATCTGTAAATATAATCAGCAAGATTTGACAACTGATTAGATGCAGAGGAAAGGAGAATAAACAATCAAGTAAGACACTTGTGTGTGTAGGTGACTAATTGACAGAAGTCTGGAAGAAGGATGAATACAGGGAGAAAAATAAAAAGTTTTGTTGTGGGTATGTTGAGTTTTAGGTTCCTAGGAGACATCAGTTCAAAATGTCCAATAGACAGTTGATGATGTGAGACAGGAGCTCAGGAGAGAGACCAGGACTGTGGGTATATAAATCTGGGAACTAAGGATGTAGAGATGATCACTGAATCTGTGGATTTGATAAAAGGAGAAGGGGTCTGGGGCAAAGCCTTGGGGTGCAACCACAATTAGGGAGTAGGGCATAGATAATGATCAAGCAAAGGATACTGAGAAGAGGTAGCCAGAGACGGGAGAGGAGAACTGAGAGAAAACAATGTCACAAAAGCCCAGAGAAGAGAAAGTATCCAGGAGGGAAAAGTAGTCAATGGTGTCAAATGCTGCAGAGAAAAAATGAGAGGTTTGAGAACAGGTCATCGAGATCATTGGTAACTTTGCAGAAAGCAGTTTCAATTGAAGCCAGATTGCAAAGGGTTGAGAATTGGGTGAAAGGAGAGAATGTAAAGAGAGGAGAAACGGACCCAGGATAAAGTCGGGAGGCAACAGGTATAAAAAGCTTCTAGAAAGAAAGTTCTTCTCCCTGAAGAAGTGTAGAATGGTAACATGAGAGAATTGCAGGTTCAAATGAGGGTTTTATTTTTATTTTTTTTTTAAGATGGAGAAACCAGGCATGTTTATAGGAAGCAAAGAACAGATCTTGAAAAGAGATAGAGGGAAATGCTTGTGGGGAGTGAGATGATATAGCTTACAAATGAAACAACTCATTTATTATGGCATACAAATGAAGCAACTGATTTATTCCTAAATATGTGAAATAAATAAAAGAATAAATATCAATATGTACTACCACCATTGCATGAATCTTGGTTCACAAATATGATCTTTTTGCCAAGCAGAGAAATGCGGGATGCAAAAACTATACTGATTTAGAACATAACTTGTTTATAACATAGGGAATGGTGGTAGAATATTGTGGCATAGAATCACATCAAAAGAGTGGGAATCAGTGGGGGGAAAAGCAAGTTTATGGAAAAATTTTTGAGAGACTCAAGCCAAATCATCAAAAGAGCATTTAAGGACAAAACTGGAAAGGGCCCAACTAGCAAATGAAGAACAGAAAATATCTATCAAGATTTCTGTAATAAACTCCTTTCTACATCAATGACAGTGGAGTCACAACATTTAGATTCTATCATCACAGACCCCTTTACACTTTATAAAGAAATAGAAATGGCACTAAATACATAAAAATTAAAAGTGCAGCTGAACTAAGAGCAGCTACGTGGCACAGTGGATAGCGTGCTAGGTGCAGAGTCAGGAAGACATCTTCCTAAATTGAAATCCAGCCTCAGACACTTTCTAGTTGTGTGACCCTGGGCAAATCACTTAACTCCTGCTTGCCTCAGTTTTCTCATCTGTAAAAATAGGAACAACAAGAGCATCTGGCTGCCAGAATTGTTGTGAGGATCAAATGAGATAATAATTGTAAAGTACTTAGCATAGTGCCTGGGAAATAGTAGGTACTATATAAATGTTAGCTATTATTATTATTATATGAAATAGACCAAGTAATACACACAGGAGGTCTATGCTGTAGGTGATACCATTTTGGTTATGTTGAGGGATCAATTCTTAAGATTTCTGAAAGAGGGAAAGATACTAAAGACTTGAAAAAAATCTGTCACCTTATTATTTATGCTGTTTTAAACCCTAGGATCCCTGCTGAAAAATCCTAGTCTTAGCTTTTGCTGAGTTAGGTCCCGAAAGGTCATTCCTTGCTCCTCACTCAGGATGTCAATGTTAAGCTGGCTGCAAAACCTAGATGTTGGGAGGCCAGGGTGCCTAAAATGGAGAACAAGCTCAGAGGCCTAGTGCCAAGGCCCATTTTAACTAGCTACTTGTTGGTCTCGCTGAGGAGGTTCAAGCCCTCTTCCCTTAATAATAATAGCTAGAATTTATATCATCTACATCAAACATTTTACATTGACATAAGTGCTATTATTATCCCTATTTTTGCAGTTGAGGGAACTGAAGCAAACAGATTAAGTGACTTGTCCAAGGTCACACACACCTAAGTATCTGAGGCTGGATTTGGACTCAGGACTTTCTGAGTACTCTTATCTACTGCATCACTTTGTAGTATCTCTCACAAACCACTATCAGTGGAGTCCAACCAGAAGCAGTGGTGCTAAACACATTGTCAGAAGAGAGTAGGCTGAGGCTGACTTTTGGGTACTCCAGTACTGTCTACAGAGGCAACTGAAAAAGACTTCTCAACCATGTAATCAGAAGACTGGAACCATTTACAGAATCTCTATACATACTCCACAGTCTCTCCAAGCCACTTCCATTTCATATTGTCCTGGAATCAGTAAGATCTCAGGAGCAGGTTCTCCAATCTCTTTCTCATGAGGAGACTGTATCTGCCAAGAACCTAATGTACTCTACCGATGGACCATTCATGGAAGAAATTTAATTTGATTGGACAGAGTTCCCTTTAAGAAGGATTGCCTTAGGAAGAAGTTGTCAAAAGATGCGGTCACCAAATTAGGATTTGGACAACAGTGAGAAACAGGGAACTGAGCTAGCTTTCCAGATGGTTGGATGAGGAGTGAAGCCCTTTAGTCTTTAGGCAAAAAGGAAGAAAAGGATTTCCTAGGTTCAGACAGGTTTTCAGCCGAAAGGGGTCCTTACAGATCATTTATTCTCCCATCTTTCCATTATTACAGAGATTTGTTTCAGTTGAGAGTTCCAGATGTGTAGATTCTGACTACATTCAAGTCTCAGTTCTGCCCACATGGACATGAATGACTTTGACAAGTTAATTTCTTAGGCCTTCAGTTTCCTCAACTATCAAATAAGGGGCTGACACAAGATGACCTGGAAATTCTCTTCTATATCCAAATCAAAGATCTTATGAATTAGCCCAGCAGTTCTCAAATGTTTTTGGAATCAGTACCACTTTACACTCTTAAAAATTATTGAAGATCACTCCTTCTTTGGGGTTTATCTGGGTTGTATCTACTGATATTTACCATGATAGAAATTGTTTTATTATGAAATTAAAATATTATTATGAAATAGCTTTGATCTCGCTCATCCCCTGAAAGGATCTCCTTGACCCCAGAAGATTCACGGACCATACTTAGAAAACTAAACTGGTGAGAGGCCTTAGAAAGCTTGGGTGGGGTGCGAGGTGTGAGGAAAGAAAGAGAGTTAAAGAAAAACCTGCCAGGTTTTGGAGGGAGGTACTTCTTTAGGTGAGTAGTGGCTTTAAAGACAACATAAAACACGACAAAATAAAAGATCAGAGCAGCGACAGGGAAACAAAACAAAACTTATGACCATGTTTTTGTTTTTTATTTGAAATTTATGGAGCAAGGAACGGTGGGATTGGTGCTGAGCCAAATTCTCAAGAGGAACTTTCGCCTAGAAAGAGGACCAGCTTGCGAATATAACGCACATAAACAAAAGTTCTTGGGGGAAGAAAGGGTGGTCGTAGGTTGTGAGTAGATGGATGTGATTATGTTTATCTCCCCAGATCTGTGGGTGCATGTGCGCTACAATGCAAGAGAGCGCGCTGTCACAGAGAACTTCCTGGGGGCCGTGTGCGAGAGAGAGAGAGCGACAGACAGAAACAGAGACACAGAGACAGAGAGAGCGAGAGAAAGAGAGAAAGAGCGAGAGAGAGAGAGCGAGGGAGAGAGCAATGCCTGAGAACTTCCGTGGGTGTGGGTATTTGCAAGAGAGCGCTGCCCAAGAACTTCCTTCCGTGTGTGTCCGTGTCCCGATAAGAAGGACCTTACGCCCCAACCCGCAGCCGGCTCTGCCAGGCAGGGGGCGGGAAGGAGAACTAAGAGGTCTGCAGCACACCTGGGCTCAGACAGTCAGAGTCTGCCAACGCCAGTTTCTAAAGAATCCTTCCTTCCCCCTAACCCCCTTCCCAACTCCCGCCGATTAACGCCACCACCCCGAGACTACATTTCCCAGCAAGCCCTAGGGGCGCTCGCGCTCTGCAATTGACCCATTTCCCGGCCCGTCAGCAGTTCGGGGGGCCGGCCCAAGCGCCCAGGCAGCCGCTCCCTGCTGACTCGGAGTGTGGGCGGGGAGAGGAGGGCGGAGGGAAGAGGAGGAGGCGCCGTTGCTGCCGTTTGCCTCGGCGGCTGTGAGAGCCGGCACTGGTCCGCAGCAGGCTGCCGCCACGGCCGCCATGGACGAACAGGCGGGGCCCGGCGTCTTCTTCAGCAACAGCCACCCGGCGGCAGCCGCGGGCGTCAAGGGGCTCGGGCCCTTGGCAGAAGCGGCGGCCGCGGGCGACGGGACGGCTGCGGCGGCTGCGGCGGCTGCGGGGGCGGCCCGAGCCCAGTACAGCCTCCCGGGGATCCTGCACTTCCTGCAGCACGAGTGGGCCCGCTTCGAGGTGGAGCGCGCCCAGTGGGAGGTGGAGCGGGCGGAGCTGCAGGTAGAGACCCTCCCGGCCTGGCCCTCCTCCTCCCGCCTCTTTCCTCCCTCTTTCCTCCCTCCTCGCCCCGCCCCGGCCCTTTCCTCCCAGCCTCCCGCCTGTCCCCTCCCCCTTCCCTCGGTTCCCGCCCACCCCGACCCGAGAGCCCCTTCACCTCGCCCCACCCACCCTGACTCTACCTGTTCTAGTTCCCGGCTGCCCCTCCCGTGTAATCAAATGAGAGAATGTTTGTGGAGCGCTGGGCACGACGCCTGGCACCTAGTAGGCACTTAATAAATGCCTGTTCCTTCCCCTCCCCCCTCCCAAAGCTGCTCTCCCAGTCATCTCAATCTTCCCAACCCTAGTGTCCCGCCTCCTAGTCCAGTTCCGAGCTCTGGTCTTTGCTTTTTAGTTGCAGATTGGCGAGGAGGGTCCTGGTGCGGCGGACCGGACCTCTCTGTTTCTAAGGGTCATGCCCCGCGTCGGGGGCACAAGAGCCAGAGCTGTTCCCAGCAGAGTTGAGGGGCCGGCACTTGGCCAGAGGGTTGGGGTTTGAGGTTTTGGGTTTTTTTTGGGGGGGGGGGTTGATTTTTTCCTGTGGATTCTTTTTCCCGAGAAAGAAAGGAAATGAGAGGACACATTAAGTTGTGTCAGGCTATGGCCAGAGGTGGGAAACCGAGAAAGGGAAAAAAGTGGTATCTTCAGAAATAGAAAATTCCTATATATTCGAATCTGTGTCGTCTGCCGCAGTGCGTTTCACTCACTGATTTTAGATCTGAGATTTTTGAATGAATGAGAGATCAGAAATCAAGTGTGTTACTTAAGGGAAGCACTGGTATTGTTAAGATTTAAAAACAAAAAACAAACAGAAAAGACACTTTAGATTCTTTGTGGTAAAACAAACAACCCCCCCCCCCCAAAATATAAACAGGTTTTTGTAAAAACATTTTTTCCAGATTGAGTTTTTCCTTGCCGGAAGTTGAGGTCTGTTAAAGTTAGTCACGTTAGTGGTGTGCTGTGTATGACATGTTTTGAGATAAGATATGTCCACTGAAGATTGAGTGTTTACAGGCTTTTCACACAGTTAATTTCTTTACTGTGCCTTAACTTCTGAGACTCTGGAGAGATCTTTAATAACTAGTGGAGTCGTGCTGGGCACTGTACTGGGGATACAAAGAAAGGGTAAGAAAAGGGAGTTATTGCTCTCAAGGAGCTCACATTCTAATAGGGGAAATAGCATACAGATAGTTATGTAAAAGATACCATGTAAGTGGAAAGTAACTCAAGAGGGAAAGCAGGAGCAGAGGTCAAGGAGGGGTGAGAAAGGGCTCTTGGCTGGTGGTGGGATTTGGTCCTCTGTATACCTACGATGTCTGATTATAGCCTGTGGTTCATTGATATATAGTATATCTACTTATATGGGAAAAGCAGAATAGTACAGAGGACAAGTTTTGAGGATGTATTACTTGTGTTCGAATCCTGCCTCTTTTACTTCCTGCCTTGGCATGAGCAAGTCACAACTTCTCTGAGCTCATTTCCTCATCTAGAAAATAGGGGGTGTGTGGGCATTAAATGATCTCCGACTTCTCTTGCCACTCTAAATCTATGATCCAACAAGTACATGTTGTTTACTTGATAGAATATGACTTCCTTGAATGCATAGACTATCTCATTTTTGACTTTGTATCTGTAGTGCCTAATGCAGTAATAGATACTTAGTAGATGATTAATAAAAGCTTATTGATTGGATATTCTGGAAACGAGGATATCACCAACTGAATCCTTTTTTTTTAAACCAACATTTCCTTGGTAGTCTCCAATATAAGTATTAGTTCATGTGCTCCCAGTTGCTGCTTCTAAACAATTTCATTCCCCATTCCACAAAAGAAACCAGTTAAACAAAGCAGTGTGATAACTTAAGCTGTTTTGGTAACTTTGGTTTGGGTATTTGCACTTCAGTTGAATGTAATTGATGAAGAACATCTATATTTTAGCTAGCCTGTGGATTGTTCAGTGTTGGTGCTTTTGCCATTTGATGTAACTTCTTTTGTGTTATGATCTTCCTATCTTCCCAGTTCCCTCCCCTTTCCTCCATTTACTGACTAGATCCTACATACTGAACTGCATAGAAGCTTTGACCAATTAACTTTGGTTAATTCTACCCTCTTTAGCTTAATGGCCCCCTGCTTCCAAGAGCTTCCCTTTTGGCATTACACTTAGTGTGGATACCAGATCAGCTTAGCCATATTGCAGCTCAGAGTTCCCAAGCTCTAATGATCCACCAGCCTCAACCTCCCCAGTAGCAGGGATTATGAACTTGCCAAATCATGTCCTGTGGCATACAGTATTTAAAAGAATCTGTGAGGTTCAACTCGATGGTTCAGTGGATAGAGCACTAGCCCTGAAGTCAGGAGGACCTGAGTTCAAATGTGACCTGAGACCAGACACTTGACACTTACTAGCTGTGTGACCCTGAGCAAGTCACTTAACCCCAATTGCCTCAAAAAAAAAAAAAACCAACCTATGGATTTCTAAGTTTTAATTCTAAGTTTTGAAAAGGCTTTGTTTAGCTTTACAGAAATCACAGGGGATTTTTAGAGAAATCCCCAATAGGTAGGTGGAGGGGAAGCACACAGTAGGGCTTATCTTCTTAGACTTTAGTTTCTAGTTTGGGGAGTAGATGATCTCCATAATTCCTTCTAATTAATTAATATTTGTTAATAAAAGACCTCAGTTTTTGGACATGTTGGATGAAAAAAGCATGGAAGGATCTATTTTGTAAATGCTATTTAGTTTAATTTTTAGAAGTTTGTTAAGAACATTCTGTGTTTCAAGTGGGGCAGCTAGATGGCACAATGAGTTCAAATCCTGCCTCAGACACTAGTTTGTGGCCCCCTGCCTAAAACTGGAGAAGGAAGGAAATGGCAGACTACTCTAGTATCTTTGCCAGGAAAACCACATGGGTAGTTGGTCCACAGGGTCACGAAAAGTTGGACGTGACTGAACAGTGACAACCAAAAAAATGTTTCAGGCTCTGTGCTTGGTACAGAAGATACAATAATATAACACAATAAACATTTATTAAGTGCCTACTACTATATGCTGGGTACTGTGCTCACTGGGGATACAAAAAGAGGCAAAAGACAGTCCCTGCCCTCATGGAGCTTGTAATCTAAAGGGGGAGACAAGATGCAAACAATACATAACATGCTGTGTTAGCAGGATAAATAGGAAATAATTAAAAGAGGGAAAACATTAGAATTAAAAGGGTTTAGGGGCAGCTAGGTGTTGCAGTGGATAGAGGACTGGCCTTAAAGTCAGGAGGACCTGAGTTCAAATCCAGCCTCAGACCAATCACTTTACACTTACTAGCTGTGTGACCCTGGGCAAGTCACTTAACTCCAATTGCCAAAAAAATCAAAAAGCAAAAAAAAAAAAAAAAAGAATTAAGAGGGTTTAGAGAAGGCTTCCTGAAGAATGTGGAATTTTAGTTGAGACTTAAAGGAAGTTAGGGAGGTTAATAAGTAGAGTGGAGGAGGGAGAGCATTCCAGGGATAGGGAACAGCCAGAGACAATGCCTGGAGCTGACAGATGGAGTGTCTTGTTCAGTGAACATCTAGAAGGCCAGTGGTACAGGACTGAAGAGTATGTGTTGGGGAATAGAGTATAAGAAGACTGGAAAGATAGGAGGGGACTACATTATGAAGGGCTTTGAATGCCAAACAAGGATTGCTCCTGGAAGCAACAGGAAACCACTGGAGTTTATTGAGTTGGGGGTGGTGACATCAGACCTGCATTTTAGGAAAATCACTTTAGTGATTGAATGGGGAATGAATTGGAGTGGGGAGAGACTTAAGGCAGGCAGACCCACCAGCAGGCTATTGCAATAATCACGGCATGAGGTGATGGAGGCCTGCACTAAAGTGGTGGCAGTGTCGTAGGAGAGAAGGGGCTGTATTCAGGAGATATTGCAAAGGTGAAATTGACAGGCCTTGGCAACAACTTGCATATGGAGACTGAGGAATGGTCAGATAGGTATGAAGAGAACCAGGAGAGAGTGATGTTCCAGAAATCTAGAGAGAAGAGGATATCGAGGAGAGAGTGATCTGTGTCAAAGACTGCAGAGAAGTCAAGGAGAATTAAGGATTGAGAAAAGACTATTGGATTTGGCAACTAATAGCAAGAGTAACTTTGGAGACAGCAGTTTTGGTGGGATAATAAGGTCAGAAGCCAGATTGTTAGAGGTTAAGAAGAGAGTGAGAGGAGAGAAAATGGGAGCACATATTGTGGATGGCTTTTCTTTTTTAAATTAATTTATTTTGATTTATCAACAATCACTTCCATATGCTTTTGAGTTTAAAATTTTTCTCCCCCTCCCTCCCCACCACCTTTCCCAAGATGGCGCACAATCTGATATAGGCTATACATTTACGTTCATATTAAACATATTTTCGCATTAGTGATGCTGTAAGTAAGAATTAGAACCAATAGGAGGAACCACCAGAAAGAGGAAACAGAACTCAACAGAAGAAAAAAAATAGCAAATAGTATGTTTCGATCTGCATTCAAACTCTGTAGTTCTTTCTTTGGATGTGGATAGCATTTTCCATCACGAGGCCTTTGGAGATGTCTTAGATCCTTGTATTGCTGAGAAGGGGTAAGTCTGTCAATATTAGTCATCACACGACGTGGCTGTTATTGAGTATAAAGTTCTCCTGGTTCTGCTCACTTCACTCAGCATTAGACCATACAAGTCTTTCCAGGTTTTTCTGAAGTCAGCCTGTTAATCATTTCTTATAGCACAATAGTATTTCATTACATTCATATACCACAACTTGTTCAGCCATTCCCCAATTGATGGGCATCTTCTCAATTTCCAATTCTTTGCCACCACAAAAAGAGCTGCTTTAAATATTTTTGTACATGTGGATCCTTTTCCCATTTGTGTGATCTCTTTGGGATATGGCCTGAGAAGTGCTATTGCCACGTCAAAGGGTATGCACATTTTTATAGCCCTTTGG